GGGATCAAAATTTTGATATAGATCTAATTATTAAAATATGTGATGGTATACGTCCTCCTATTATTACAAATGCACCTAAAGGTTATATTGATTTAATGCAAACTTGTTGGGATTCTGATCCTAATAAAAGACCAAATATGGGTGAAATTTGGAAACTTATTGATGAAATCATTTTGAATGAAAAAAAAAATCCAACTAAAATTATAATATCACCAGATATTGGACCTATAATAGAAAATAAACTATATAGTAGTATAATAATCTTACCAGAGTTCAAAGAATGTTTAAAAAATTCAAGCATTATTGGTAATTAATAAAATTAAATCTACATTATTCTATGTAACAGCATAATAATTATTTATTTATTTTTGTTAGATAAATATATTAAAGATAGTTGTAATGAAAATAACAATAATGGTAAGTAAAGGAATAAAATATTAGCTATTAATTCCAAAATTAATCAATTGTTTTAATTTATAGATTATATATCCAAAACGATATATTTTGATATTTAATAAGTTAAATTATATTTCATATAATCTATTTTTGATATATAGTTACTAATCTTATATTTATTTATCCAATAAATCTTAAACATAATATTCTATATAAGAATTCACTTAAAAACATAATTATAAAAGATATTTGCTTGAATTAATCATGTATTAAAACCAATAATATTTGTTTTAAGCATAAACTAATGACTTTAAATTATACTGTATGCTAACATGAAAATACCTTAAGCAAAAGAAATAAACAATTATAATTATAAGTTTTCAAAAGTTGTTCTAAGGATTGAACTAAAATAACCAATTTTGTTGATTACATATAACGCATCATTTAATTTTATGGAAATTTATTAATTAAATTTTATATTTTATATAAACATAGATTAATATTAATAAACTATTATATAATAATACAATACTAATTATGATTTGTGATTATTATTTTAATGACTAAAATTATGAATAAAAGGAATTCACCCTTATGCAACTTATTAACTATCTTATTCATTGCAATGTATTTACAAAAAACATTTTTTTATAAAATAAAAAGAACAAATAATTAATTGAAATACATATATAAACTGTTTGTCTTTATATAAAAAAATGTATTAATTAGCTAGATTATAATCTATATAAAAAATATTGAAATTTTAAAATTAATAAGTTTATAGAGACAAAGCTATAGTGGCCTTTAATTGTAAGCATTTATATTTTTTAATCATCAAATTATATATATATATTGAAAGCTGAAGGATTTAGAGAAGTAATGTGTATTTTAGAATAATTTAAATATTGACTTAATACCATATAAGCTTATAATAAAGTTTATTCTTACGTTTTATTTACTGTAAATGTAAAAGCATTTTGTAATGAAAATTAGCATCTGCTTAATATTTTCTATTTATCATAAATGATATAATTTCAGGGGAGAATAGGGAAGTTCCCACTAAGAAGTGGTAGCCTCCCCAGTATCTTCTTGATATATTATTTTGTATTCCTTTTCTATTTCTCGCATCTCTAGCTCATTATAATTACTAATTATATTTCCTGCCTAGCGGGAAATTTTGCAATTTCTGAAATACTAATTATTAATCTTACTTAGCTAGACTCTTTGGAATTGTATAAATACTAATTTGTTATTTTATTTTATGCGAAACGAAGTGGAGCGGTAAGCAAATAGTGAATACAATAAGTAGGCAGATGGTATGCAAATCATAAAGCAAATATGAATGCCAAGTCTGCGGAGTATCGAAGATGCGGAGCATATGTATATAGGATATATTTACGAGTTGCAGAGCATCGAAGATGTGGAGCATATGTACACAAGATATGTTCATAGGATGCGAAGCATCAAAGATGCAGTGCATATGTACATAAGATAGGTTCACAGGTTGCGAAATATCAAAGATGCAAAGCATATGTACACAAGATATGTTCACGGTTGCCAAGTATCGAAGATGCGGAGCATATGTACACAAGATATGTTCACAGGTTGCGAAGCATCGAAGATGCTAAGCATATATACACAAGATATATTCACAAGTTGCGGAGCAGGTAAGATGCAAAGCATATGTATACAAAATATGTTCACAGAGGTTGCGAAGTACCAAAGGTAAGAAGCATATATGTAAAACATGAAAAAAAATAAGTAATATAAATGCATACATATTGAGTTTAGGAATATTCCCAAAACATCCTTGGCATTAGCCCATCTGAAATTTGGTATACATATGCTTTAGCACCCATGATTTTTCGAATCCTTCTAGCCCAGCTAGTCCTGATCAAGGGTTTCCAAATAAGTCTGCATTTATATGATTCTGATCAGTGAATCCTAAGATATTCGCATCCAAAGTAGCCAGAACGGTCAAGCAGTTTTCTTATCACAGATTAGCCAAATAGACCCAGTCCTATATCTGGTGTTCACTTTGTAAACCTTTCTTCATCATCATGGATTATCGGATGGGGTAGGTGGCTGGCAGACTAAGATTTCCATGGAATTTGATCTGAAGTATATGTTTCCAGATTGGGAAATCCTTCTCTGTTCTCGAGGCCTATCAGATCGATTTGGATTCAGAATACTAGTGGTTGGAGATGAAAGTTTGTTTTACAATAATTAGCTTTTCTATAATACTTTTTAGCATGTTCTACACACATTCTGTAAGAAGAAGTCATTGGTGTATCACATTCACTACAAGGAATACGAAATCGCCTTTTTCAATGAATATAACATCCTTCTTGCTGATAACATTTATTTCCACATATACAACCATCAATATAGGGGTATGGACAAGAATAAAATGCTATGCATTCCTATTGTTTCACAACTTCGAAGTGTTTACAAATCAAAAATTAGTTTATATAAGAAAATATATTATGTTAACTGCTTGTTAACCTGTCAACGATTTTACAAATTAAATATTTTCTGAGATTATTAAAACGAGATGACATCTAATAATGATAAAAGAATGGAATCTTTATCTCAAGTAATACCAGAAGTGCTAGCAAAAAAAGTGAAGAAAGCATTGCTAGAAGTATTAAAAATGGTAATATGCCAGAATTTTAAAGAGAGTAATAAATTTGTTAGAGATCATCTTAGCTATGTAAAAAAATTGCGATTGGCAGAAAATCCTAACAGATATGCTAGATATATTACAAGAAAACTAGTTTCAGATGAAATATCATATAATACAAGAATAGAGAAAGTTCAAACATGGTATTAGGGGAAACTGCGTACTAAACTAGAGAAATTATATAGTCTTTATTATGAAATATCTCAAGAAAAAAAATGTGAAATATCCAAAGAGAATGCGAAAGAAATTATTTAAGGACTTCTTAATTTGTTACTTATAGATGATTAAATATGCAAAGCTGATAACTTTCTTAACTTGTTAGCACCCACTGAGGTGGCAATTTAGTATCATGAGGAATTACTAGCAATTCTTTGTGTATAAATGATCGTTAAGAACTATTGCCTTCATTATCTATAAGCCAATAAAGAACCGGCTGATTTTTTTGTACTAGTAATTTTTTAATATGGTAAACTTGTGGAGACCAATTTTTATCAGTGCACGTCGTTTACTATCTCCTTTCAACTCACCAGGTTCAAGCAAATATCTTATTAAAATATCATAAGTTAATTGCAGTTCATAATAGCCTATAGACCCTTCTCGAGTTTTAGAAGACTAAGAAATGACCTGCTTCTTTTTTATTGCCATAGCTGGAGATAGACCTATAAGTCGGGTTATAGAATTATTAATATCTTCTACAATTATAAGCAGATTCTTTACCCAAGCCTGAAATTTTTCAGATAAATGCAATGTTAATAAGTCATGCGCATCTTGCATAAGAAATAATCTCTTAGATAATGTCTTGTTATAACTTTCAACAATACCCATAGTACATTTAAACTTGGCCTTCTGAATTTTTACATCATGCTCTCTCATTAATTTCTCACAATCACCCCTGAACTCTGGTCACCTATTTGTTAAAAATGTTTTCGGCCAAATAAAAGGACATTTAGGATCATTATAGATTTTCTCAAAAGCTCGAGCAATGGTCTTTGAAGTTAAGATCTCCTGTCTATCCTTGACACTATATATACCAATAGGGATAGAAACTTTATATCTCGAAGCCACATCTACTACATTAAGCCAAAAAAGATAAGTAATCTGACCTATCTTATCATAAGGCATATAGAGAATATCTGCCTGATGTACTTCATTGGGGGTAGTAATAGAGCTAAAACTTACTCATAGAATACACTTTGGCCGTGATCTATAAATCTGATATATAGTTTGCTTTTAAGCCAATCTCTCACTTCGTCTAGACTAAAAACATACCCAACTTTTAGAGAAGCTTCATGCAATTTTTTCGCAGTCTTTTGATAGCCTGAAGGTTGGTAATAAATCTTTTGCAAATCAATAGATATATCTAAATTTCTAGATTTACTCAAATCTATTTGTATAATAAGAATCAATGATATGAACCTGACCTATATCGAAATCCTTGATATAAATAAAGAGTTGCGCAAAGAATTAGCAAATGAAATAGTCTTAAATGATATTTCCAATAAAAAGCTTAAGTCTCTTAACAAAGAGCTAGATGCATGTTATAAAACTATATTGCAACAAGACTTTACAATCTTAATTCATAAAGATGAGATAGCATCTCTTAAAACTGAGATCAAATCTCTTAAACAGAATCTTCACAAAGCAATACAGGATTTATGACATAAAGGTAATGCTAATACTGCACAAGATATCCATATTTTGAGGCTAGAAGATAGTGTTTTGCAAAAAATCTGATTCGGATCTGGATTTTTATTTGATTCGATCCATCGGATCCAGATCAGATTCGGATTTGGATTTAATTCAATCTGACGGATTCAGATTTGGTTTCAGATTTGATCTGTCAGATTTGAATTTGGATTCAGATTCGATTTGATGGATTTAAAATAAAAATGCTGCCCTGAAGTCGGTAGCGGCATTTATTATTAAAAAAGTTTAATTTTTAATAATAAAATGCTGCCCGAAAGTCGGATGTGGCATTTATTATTAAAAAAGTTTAATTTTTAATAATAAAATGCCATCCAAAAGTCGGACACGGCATTTATTATTAAAAAATTCATTTTTATTAATTTTAATAACAAAATGCCATCCCGAAAGTCGAAGGCGGCATTTATTATTAAAAAAATTAATGTTTAATAATAAAATAATGCCCCGAAAGTCGGACGCAGCATTTATTATTAAAAAATTCATTTTTATTAATTTTTAATATTAAAATGTCACCCCGAAAGTCGGAGGCAGAATTTATTAATAAAAAATTAATTTTTCATTAATTTTTATAACAAAATGCCGTCCAAAAGTCGGAGGCGGCATTTATTATTAAAAAAATTTTTATTTTTAATAATAAAATGCCGCCCGAAAGTCAGACATAGCATTTATTATTAAAAAATTAATGTTTAATAATAAAATGCTGCCCAGAAAGTTGGACGCAGCATTTATTA